CCTTTCACCACTTCCGGGCCGCAATACGTCTATAGACGGCGGCCCGCAGAAGTGGTTATACAAAGAACATGGCTGCAGCAGTCGTGTTCTTGGTGCCGCTTTTAACAGCAGACAATTGCAGTTAATGTACAAGCGATCGTTTGCACCGTGCAGCGCATACACCCCCACCCCACCACTGTCCCTGTGCGGCGCCTGGGAGCGGCTCGGCGGGTCTCTCCGCAATGATCGGAGAGATTCAGCGGCTTCCAGCCGCTGATCTCTCCTTCGATCACTGGACCCGGAAGTGATGTGTATTGCATCACTTCCGGTGTCACTCGTTACAGTCGCCGGCTCTTAGGCCCCGTTCACACTGAGCGACATACCTTTAGGAGCGGATCCGCGCGGCCTGGATTGCGCGACTTTCGGGGCGACGGTAGCGCGACCTTCACCGTCAGGCTGCATTTAAAAAAACACCAAAAGAATCGCGCAACATCCGCCGAAAAAAGGGTCCTGCAGGCGCGACTTGCGACATAGAGCTGTACATTAAGACCGCTTCATTGAAAATCATTGGCCGGCGACTTCTCAAGATATCGCGCGGCAAAAATGCTCGAAATCGCGCGCCAATCCGCTCAGTGTGAATGGGGCCTAAGAGCCAGAATAAGCAGCTGGGGGAGGAGATCTCGGCTTCCTCAGCTTCTTTGGGGTCCCTAGGTGACATTAGGGGTCTAAAAGACCCCTGATGTCTCCATAAAGAGGACCTGTCACACCCTATCTGCTATTACATAGGGTGCTTGTTAGCCCCCCTATGTGATAGCAATAGGTTTAGTGTAAAAAATAAATGTGTTTTAAATAAGTGTTTAAAAGTTAAAAAAATTAAAGTCACATAAGAAAAATTAAAAAAAATTAATACATTTTTAAGTCCCCCACCCTCCACGTGCACACACAAACACGCGTCGGTGCGAAAACGTGCATGCGAAAACGACAATTGCGCTACACATGTTACATATCGCCGAGAGCGTCGGAGGGCGAACAATAATTCTAGTCCCATCAATCACTGATCACACTAAACTGATGAGCCGTAAAAGCATTTAAAGTGTTCCCTATGGGAAATTTGGGGTATTGACTTTTTTTGCGGCTTCATGGGTACGCGCAATTTTTAGGCTTGACATGTTTGGTATCTATTTACCCGGCGTGACCCCGACTTTTATATTTTACCAAAAAATTGTGTATTATATTCTGTGCACTCAATTTTAATTCAGTTGATTTTTTCCTAAAAATACCGGTTTGATAAACATTTGCGCAAAAACCGTGCGACGTAAAAAAATTGCAACTAGCATCTTTTTATTCTACACGGCCTCTGCTTTCAGAACATATATCTGGGGTCTGAAGCTGTTTTCTAGCCAAAAATGTATATTTTATCATCACGTGTGTGCAAATGTAAGAAATTGCTCCGGACAGGAAGAGGTTAAAGGAGAACTATGGGGGTCAGGGCTTTTCCCCATAGTTCTCCTTAGGGTAACGGGAGGACACAAACTAGCGTCCTCCTGTCACCCTAGGCTCAGTATATAGGGAGCTGCAGCTCGCGGATCCAGACATCGATGTCTGGATCCGCCCAGCTGCGTGAGTGACAGCTGGCTCTGCCTATCTAGAGGCAGAGCCAGCTGTACCCGCCCCCTCCCCCGTCCGTTCCGCCAGTCAGCGCTGGCGGATCGGAGCAGGGAGGGGGGAATCCAGCCCCTCCCCTGTCACGGCAGAGAGCCTTGACAGGATCGAGAGGTGTGCGAACGCCGGTATGTGTTCGCTCACCTCCCGATCTACTGAGCCGACCTGTGACAGTCTCATTGTCACAGGTCGGCTGGAACTATGAGGTGAGTGAAAAGCACCCCCTCCCCCCTCATAGTTCTCCTTTAAAGAAAACAAGTCTCTCACCACGTGAAGCCTTCGATGCATCGCTTGAGTGTTCCATCGCGAGATAATCGTTCCGTGTAACGCAAAATCTTCTCCTTCGCCGAAGACACTGCGGGAACGGATATAAATCATCAGCATTGTGAAGTGTAACTCAGGAAGAGAACAAATTCCTCTGCGGGTCAGGTATAGAAGTTGTAGGACTTCCTCCGATGTCATTGTACTTCTAGAGACTTCCTGTTACTTCCCGTTCCTGAGCGCTACCCTGCCTGCAATATTCTATTCACATCATCAATCGCAACAGAAAAACTGATAAAGATTGCTGGACACATCAGTTCAGTGCGCGCAGGAAGTTTGGAATTCTGGGAAGATGAGATGTAAAAGGTTTGAAAACCATCGCCCATTGATTGTTTGGGACTTGGCGTATACAGTGCAGCGGAGTGCGAGGGTCAGGACTATGGAATGCACAAAGCAGCTTTCAGATATCAGCGGTCAGAACTCTGTGCCCCCATTATGTTGGTGGTCTGTGGTGAGTGCTCCTTTAAATGTTGGCGATTAGTGGTTTATGTGACGGACCCCCGTACTCAGGATGAGTATGTGCGCCGCTGTATTCTTCCTTGCTCAGGAGATATTGGAACCTGAAGATCTTTAGCTCCCAGTTTCCCCAGTCACTGGTCGAGACCAAGTGTAGGGTGAAACAAACTCTGATTTATTGAGCAACTGTGCAACCTTTTATACAGCAAGTGATTAGATCAGATTATAATCCCATCACATACACTACATATATATACCCCCCTACATACACACACCTATACA